GGGAATGAATAAAGGAAAAAAAATAGTAAGAATACTTGTATCCTAAAATTTCAAGGGTTAAATACATAAAACCCCCTTGTGGTTTTATTGAAAATCAATCGGGCAACTTATGATTTTGAAATGTTCACATAACACCCTCCCTCTTATATCCTCTTATACTTTAAACTGATGTGAAATTTCAATGTAACATGCAAGTGATGTATTATCCTTATAGATTAACTTTGTATGTACTGTCAGTGTAAATTTTTTTACACTATCAACTTCAGATGTATGTCGCATGCACGATTTCAAGTTTAAATTTGAATTCATGCTCTGTGACAATGATCTAAACCTATTAGTATAAAAAAATTATATACTAACAATGCATAAAAAGGTTATTCTTATCATTATTATTTAATATGTTTAAGTTATCCTTATCATTATTATTTAATAATTTTCTTTTCATTTTATATTTTCTTTTATTTTTAGTTCTCAAATTCCTTTGACTTAACTATCATGAGTGTTTTTACAAATTTAAAAAAATTTTGAGTTAACTATCATGAATGTTTTTATAAATTTCAAAACTTTTAAGATGCTTTAAAAATTTTTAAAAATTATTCATCATTTTCTTCTTTTCTCTCCAGTCTCCATTTGCCTCCATTTTCTCCTTCTCTCTCCCTCCCTCCCCACTTCTTTCTCTCTTCTCTTTATTCTCTCCCCTTCTTCTCTCCTCTCCTCTCCCTCCTTTCCCATCCTTCTCCCTCCATCCCACTCTTTATTTGGTTGCCAGAAAAGAGATTTGACGACCATGTTAGGAAGCTATCTTGGAGAACAACACCAGAATCAGATCGTCATCATCAATGAATACGACATCAGCTTCGGAGGTTTCCTCATCATTGCCTCCCGAGATGCCAATGGAGCTATTGGATAGGATTTTAGTTGGGAAAGACGATGACTACAACTGTGTTATTTTTTTTTTACTAAAAGAAAATCTCAGGATCTTAACTATGCAGTAGTGACATAAATTCCTGATTATTTCATTTTCTCCCTCTCTCACAAAACCTAGCAAGATTGGCTCATAATTCCCTATTTTCCACAAAGCTGAGTGATCCCAATTGAAAACTCAGTATTGGGTTCAAGCTTTTTCATCCGATTTTTGTGAACCAAATCTCTTCCTTAGCAACCAGAAAGAGTGGGATAGAGGGATAGGGGTGAAAATGCGGGGAGGGAGAGGGGAGAAGAGTAGAGAAGAGGGTGAGAGAAGGAGGGAGGGGAAAGAGAAAGAGGAGGAGGAAGGGGAAATGAGAAGAGGAGGAGACAGAAGGAGATGGTAGTGACGGGTTGTGGTGGCAGGAGGTAGATGGAGGTGGTAGTGGTGGTGTAGCAGTGGTGGTTGTATGGTAATGGAGGAAAAAAGAAAGTGAAGAAAAAATAGAAAAGAAAAGGCAAAAAGAAAAGGAAAGAAAATAGACAAAAAGGAAAGGAAAATAAAAAAAAATTAACAAAAAATGGGCTATTAGGACCATTTTTTTTGTTTTTGTCAAATTTCACTTTCATTAATACTTTGTTAAACTTTACATTTGGTATAAACAGAGCAACTACTCTATCAAAATAATGGACTTCTATTAAGCTACAGGGGCAAATTTCTTTTCCACTTGACAGCAAATTTGGCCAAACTACTACTTACTTTGTCAAAACACTGCCTGTTGAAAATGAATGTACACTTCCAAAAGGATTTTTTTTAACTATATAATGTCCTTAACTACTATGTTTAGCTAGGATTCATCCTCTTCTTCTTTGTTCAGCCTGTCTATTAGTGTTTTTGATAGGGTGCATTTTAGTGGAATATTTTGGGCATTATCGCACTATTATTTGACTAAATATTTTAATTAATTGGGTGGAATCTACTCAGATATGATTTTGGTGCTAATTGCAGGTATTGAGGCTGAAAAGGGTTTAAAATCAAAATCCAGAAGATTTGTCGCACGTGGGGCACTTCAAGCAGTTGGGTCCGTTTGAGAAGCTGAAGAAACTTAATTGTAATAGACTTTATTTTATTTTTATTAGAGAGAGTCTTGTTTTAATTTTGGAAGACAAATTTCCGATAAGGGGAAATCCCCTCCTTGAATTTCGATGGCCAAAACAGAAAGGGGAAAGTATTAGACTCCAGTAGGTAGGCTTTTTGGGGAGAGTGAATTTTTCACTTAGCTTAGGTTTTCTTCCCTTCTTGCTTTTGAATTGGAGGCGGGCCGTGGCTTGTGGACCAGGAGAAGACAAAGCCATTATTGTTGACTTTGTACTTCTTTTAGCTTTTCATTAGTCTTGACCGGAATGGAGAAATCAAGCAATTGGAAACCTTTTTCTCGTATGTTTGTAAGAAATCAGGAGACAAAAAGGCCATTGCTTGTGACCTTGGGAATTGCTTGTCTTTATTGTTGACCGAATGGATGGAGTAAGAGAAAGACATTCTCGTAGGCTATTGTAAACCATTGAGAGGAAGGGCTGCTGTGTTGACTTTTCCTTTCTTTGGTAGCGAATTGAAGTCCAGCCGCAATTGTGGACTTGTGGATCTTTGCATTTCCCGCAGCAGGAACCGAATTAGCAGAGAGCATCAGGTTTCCATCGCAAGGCTGTGATTTGAAGCAATAGAGAGTGGTGATTCCTTTCATTCCGTTCTGCATTCCGTTGGCCGAAATCGAACGAGCAAATCCAACAATTTTTCCAAACTTACCACGCATGACCTGTTCTCTAATTATGGGGAACTAAGCCCCTAATTCTAGTCAAGGGGGCAACTGACGAATTGGTTCAGCAATTACTGTGAGATCTAAACCGTTTTTAATTATTTTCTTCATTTATTGATATTTATATGTTCCTTGCTTTTAATTGCTATGGCCTTGTGTATGATTGATTAGTGCGCAATAATTAATTATTCATATAGGCTATTTTGCTATATAGGGATAATTGAATCCGTAATTATTCGTTATCTCTATCTTAGTAGCAACTGGCGTAATTGGATTTATGTCAGGGGAACATATGATCTAACTTAAATAAACCATCGTAGCGTGTTTGTTAGTTAGGATTGGACCTTTCTAATTAATAATGCAATCTAGAAATTAAATCCTACGGTCGTATCTAGGGTTGTTTCCGGGTTAGAGAAATAGTTAACGGTCGTACCTTAACTATCGAGAAATTAAGGAAAGGTTGGTTGTTTATTGCGTGCATGACAACTATAACTAATCTATCAATAAATGTGAAATTATCTGTAAATCGATGATCAGTGCATGAACCATTTCTGAAGTGTACCCTTGGCTAGAGTTCTTTTAATTATTTATTTCAATTACTTTCTTTCTGCACTTTATTTATTTAGTTGGCAATTGATTCCACAAACCCCCCATTAAGCTCTATTTGAAAAGAAACGAATTTCTCGCTAGTCTCTGAGGAGACGACCCTGCTTGCCACTGTCTACTAGTTAGTGAATCCGGTTGAATAATTAATTCAAGTATATCGGATTAAGCAAACTCTTCGAGAACAGGGTGAATCAAGTAACCCATTGCACACCTAGAGTCCCTACTCCAGTACTAGAATTGATTATTGACTGCTTCAGGTGGTAGTTAGGTATATTTAGTATTATTGCACAGGTTCGGCACCTGTCAATTTTTGGCGCCGTTGCCGGGGAGTAGCGTTTGAATTATTTGTTTCTTTTTGAATTCAGTTCTTTTTTTTTTTTTTTTCTTGGTATTTTTCCTAGTTTATGCCCCGTTCCTCTCGCACAGGTGAATTGATATACGACCCTGACGTTGAGAAGGCAGCACGTAGGCGAAGGCAAGAGACCAAGAGACGAAGAGAAGGGCAATTACTTACTGCAAACGAGTCAGTGGAAGACGAATTTAGCATGGCCAACACCCAAACATTAAGGGAGTTGGCTACCTCGGAGTTGACTCACCAGCCCTTGTGCATTACATTCCCAACCCTGGCTGAGAATACCTCTTTTGAGCTGAAGTCAGGATTGATTCACCTTCTACCCTCGTTCCATGGCCTCTCTAGTGAAGAACCCCACAAACACGTCAATGAATTTGAAGTGGTTTGCTCCAGCATGAAACCTCCTGGGGTCACTGAGGAGCAGATTAGATTAAAAGCCTTCCCTTTCTCTCTCAAGGATGCCGCTAAAGATTGGCTATACTATCTACCCGCAGGTAGTATCACCACATGGGCGTAGTTGAAAAAGAAGTTTTTAGAAAAATTCTTCCCTGCATCTCGGGCTGCGAGTTTTGAGAAAGGAAATATGCAGCATCAAGCAGTACCCCGGGGAGTTCTTGTATGACTATTAGAAAAAGTTCAACAAATTGTGCACTAGATGCCCGCAGCATCAAATTAGTGAACAGCTGTTGATTCAGTACTTCTACGAAGGGCTCCAGTCAACTGACAGGAATATTATTGACGCTGCAAGTGGAGGAGCACTGGCAAACAAGACACCGAAGGAAGCGTGGGAGCTTATCGAAGCCATGGCAGAAAATTCACAGCAATTTGGCTACCGTGAGAGCAACCCCACCCGCAGAGTCAACGAGGTAGAGACTTCATCCATACAGCAGCAACTGTCAGAATTGACGTCGGTTGTTAGGCAATTAGCCATGGGGAATATGCAGCGAGCGAAAGTACGTGGAATCTGCACAAGTATGGACCACTGCACGGACACATGCCCTCTTTTGCAAGAGGATGGGGCGGAACAGGTAAATATGGCCGGAGGCGTGCCCACGCCCCGCAGGCAGTATGATCCGTACTCCAATACATACAACCCCGGTTGGAGAGACCATCCCAATCTCAATTATGGGAATAGGCCGCAAAATTCACTCTCAAATCGTCCACCAGGGTTTCAGCAGTCATGGCAACCAAAGCCTCAACCTTCATCCTCCAACTCAGGAAGTTCTTTGGAGGATATTGTCAAGAGTCTAGCCACGACTACCACTCAGATCCAGTAAGAGACTAGACAGCTCCAGCAGGAGACCAGATTATTGACCGCGAATATGGCTCAGTTCCAGCAGGACACCAGAGCAGACATGAAAGATATGGAGGTTCGAATAAGCCAAATGGCAACTGCCATCAATCGCCTGGAATCCCATGCTCATGGGAAATTGCCATCGCAACCCGAGGTAAATCCCAGGAATGTGAGTGCCATGACACTGAGGAGTGGCAAGGAATTGGAGGAATCTAAAGTGGAGAATGCGAAAAGCAAAAGCGAGGAGGAAATAGAAAAAGAAATTGAAGAGGAAGGACGCATTCGCGAGGATCCTAAGGTACCATTCACTCCTCCACCCCTTATTAAATCTAACTTACCTCCCTTTCCTTGCAGGTTGGAAAAGACAAAGAAGGTAGAGAAGGAAAAAGAGGTTTTGGATGTGTTTCGAAAAGTGGAGATCAACATCCCCTTGCTGGATGCAATCAAGCAGATATCGAAGTACGCCAAGTTTTTGAAAGATTTGTGCACCCACAAAAGGAAGCTAAGGGGTGACGAAAGAGTAGCGGTGGGAGAAAACGTGTCATCTATACTCCAAAAGAAACTCCCACCAAATTGTGGAGACCTAGGTATGTTCACCATTCCCTACAAAATAGGAGGTACCCCAATTAGGAAAGCGATGTTGGATTTGGGGGCGTCAATTAATGTTATGCCTAAGACAATTTATGTCTCCTTTAATCTTGGGCCATTAAAAGGCACGGATATTATAATCCAACTAGCAGACCGTACCAACGCTTACCCAGAGGGGTTAGTTGAAGATGCTTTGGTACAGGTCAATGAGTTAGTCTTTCCTACAAATTTTTATGTCCTAGATATGGGGGATGAGAGGTCATTAAATCCGTCACCTATTTTGCTAGGTAGACCATTTTTAAGCACTGCTAGGACAAAAATAGATGTGAATGAGGGTACTTTGTCGATGGAGTTTGATGGTGAAATTGTAAATTTCAATATCTTTGATGCGATGAAATACCCGGATGAGGCTAACTCTGTTTTTGCTTTGAGTGTTATTGAACCCCTTATACAGGACACATTTGAATTGGATGGGGATGATGCACTGGCAGTGGCATTGGCCAGACATCTTGAGATGGGAGCAACTCTTGATGTAGAAATAAGTGATGAGTTATACCGAGCAGTTGAAGCACTGCATTCGCTCCCATCACTTTCTCCAAGGTATGAGCTTACTTTTCTCTTTATATCGGAAACTCAGGCGAAATTGTTGCCTTCTGTTGTGCAGGCACCTGAGTTGGAGCTCAAGCCTCTCCCAAAGCACTTGAAGTATGCATTTCTCGGAGACAATGAGACGCTACCAGTCATCATATCTTCTCACCTGTCACCAAGGCAAGAAGACAACCTTATTCGTCTTCTTCGAGATCATAAGGAGGCGATTGGGTGGAGCATAGCAGACATCAAGGGAATTAGCCCCTCCTTGTGCATGCATCGGATCCGGCTTGAGGATGATGCAAAGCCGGTAAGACAGGCGCAACAGATATTGAACCTACTAATGATGGAAGTGGTAAAGAAGGATATACTTAAACTACTGGAAGTAGGAATCATTTTCGCCATCTCAGACAGTCCATGAGTTAGCCCGGTCCAGGTAGTCCCGAAAAAGACGGGAGTAACCGTAGAAGAGAACCAGGGAGGCGAGATGGTCCCAGTGAGAAAACCCACGGGATGGCGTCAGTGCATTGACTACCGGCGTCTGAATGCCGTGACGAAGAAGGACCACTTCCCTCTACCTTTCATTGATCAGATGATAGAGAGGTTAGCTGGTCGTGTCTATTACTGCTTTCTTGATGGTTTCTCTGATTATTTTCAGATCGCGATAGCACCGGAGGACCAGGAGAAAACTATTTTTACCTGCCCTTTTGGTACGTTTGCCTACCGGAGGATGCCTTTCGGCCTCTGCAATGCTCCAGCGACTTTTCAAAGGTGCATGGTGAGTATCTTTTCCGAATATGTAGAAAAGATTATTGAGGTGTTCATGGATGATTTTAGTGTGTATGGGGATAGTTTTGATGAATGCCTTGATAATTTATCTTTAATTTTGAAAAGATGCATAGAAACGAATTTAGTTCTTAATTGGGAGAAATGCCATTTTATGGTAGAGTATGGTATTGTCTTAGGACATGAAGTGTCGGCTAGGAAAATAGAAGTAGATAAAGCAAAGGTCGATATTATTTCTGCTTTACCTTACCCCGTAAGTGTACGGGAAGTGCGCTCCTTTTTGGGTCATGTAGGGTTCTATAGGAGATTCATCAAAGAATTCTCCAAAATTGGAGCACCCCTGTTCAAACTGTTGCAAAAGGATGTAGCATTTGACTTTATCGAGGAGTGCAAGATAGCATTTGACAAATTGAGGGAATCATTAACCTCACCACCTGTCATTCAACCTCCAGACTGGAGCCTCCCATGCGAAATAATGTGTGACGCAAGTGACTACGCAGTGGGAGCTGTGTTGGGACAAAGAATTGGCAGGGTGGCACATGCAATCTACTATGCATCAAAGGCGTTGAATGGAGCTCAGCTCAATTACTCTACAACAGAGAAAGAATTGCTAGCTGTAACCTTTGCATTAGAAAATTTTAGACCTTATTTGTTAGGTGCAAAAGTAACAGTTTTCTCTGACCATGCAGCCTTAAGGTACTTGATGACGAAGAAGGATGCAAAACCAAGACTCATCAAATGGATCCTGCTCCTCCAAGAGTTCAACTTGGAGATAAAAGATAAAAGTGGGGCAGAGAACTTAGTTGCTGATCACTTGAGCCGCTTGCTTGCGCTTAAGGAGGAGCAACCATTGAGAGAGACGTTCCCAGAGGAACAATTACTTGTCGTTAATTCGCCGGCACCCTGGTATGCTGATATAGTAAATTTCTTAGTGACTAATCAATTGCCTGTAGGTTTGCCAAAGGTTAGGAGAGACAAGTTAAAGAGTGATGCCAAATACTACATTTGGGATGACCCCTACCTTTGGAGACAATGTTCAGATCAAGTGCTAAGAAGGTGTGTAAGTGCAGGTGAATTCCATTCCATTTTAAATTTCTGTCATTCGTTTGCATGTGGAGGGCATTTTGGGCCCAAGTGAACCGCTCGCAAAGTGTTGGAGAGTGGCTTTTACTGGCCCACTTTTTTTAAAGATGCAAACTTATTTTGCAAATCCTGTGATAGGTGTCAAAGGGTGGGAAATATTTTTAGTAAGGACCAAATGCTTCAAACCCCTATGTTGTTTGTTGAAATTTTTGATGTATGGGGAATAGATTTTATGAGTCCTTTTCCATCATCTTTTGGTTTCTTATATATCTTACTTGCGGTTGATTATGTCTCTAAGTGGGTGGAAGCGAAAACTACCCGTACTAACGATTCTAGAGTGGTTGCAGAGTTTTTAAAATCTAATATTTTTGTCCGCTTTGGAATGCCAAGAGCTGTGGTAAGTGATAGGGGGACACACTTTTGCAATAAGACTATCACTGCCCTATTCCGAAAATACGACGTACTTCACAAGGTATCCGCACTGTATCACCCGCAGACAAATGGCCAAGCCGAAGTGTCAAATAGGGAGATTAAATCAATATTGGAGAAGATGGTGCGGCCCGATAGGAAAGATTGGAGTTTGAGGTTAGAAGATACATTATGGGCATACCGCACCGCGTATAAGATGCCGATTGGGATGTCCCCGTATAGATTAGTCTTTGGAAAGGCTTGTCATCTTCCTGTGGAGTTCGAACACAAGGCGTTTTGAGCAGTGAAGCAGTGTAACATGGACTTAGAAGAAGCAGGGGTCCAAAGGAAATTGCAGCTCCAAGAACTGGAAGAGATTAGGAATGAGGCGTACGAGAACGCCACAATCTACAAAGAAAAGAGTAAAATCTTCCATGATCAGCAAGTTTCAAGGAAATATTTTGTAGTGGGGCAAAAAGTCCTCTTGTATCACTCGAGACTTAAACTTTTTTCCGGTAAGTTGCGTTCTCGTTGGATTGGTCCATTTGTCGTTTCTAATGTATTTCATTGTGGTGCAGTGGAGATCCAAAGTTTAAAGATGGAGAAGAAGTTCGTGGTAAACGGTCATCGTCTCAAACCTTATTATGAAGGATTCTCTGTTGAAGAAATAGAAGTTGTACACCTCAAGAATCCAATTTGTCTTGCTTGAGGGTTTCGGTCATGTCTAGCCAAAGACGTTAAAGAAAGGCGCTACTTGGGAGGCAACCCAAGGCTATTTGTTTTAGTTTTCATACATTTATGAAGTTTTTGTTAAGTTTTGGTGTCATTTCATAGTTTGTTGTTTTGTGGCAGGAGGTTGGCAGTTAGACGTGCCCACGCTAAGTAGTCACGTCTAAGGAAAAGAGTTGAAAGGCGATGGTCAGAAGACTCTATAACAGTTAATCGTGCCCATGCCAGGTGGTCACGCTTAAGGGAAGACAATTCCAGTCTGCGGTCAGAAGACTCTACAGTAGTTAGGCGTGCCCACGCCAGGTGGTCAAGCCTAAGGAACTCAATTTCCGGAAATTGGTCAGAAGACTAGAGAGCAGTTAGGCGTGCCTACGCCTAAGACACAGGTTCTTTGTTGTCTATATTTATATAAAAAAAAAAGTATATAAAAAAATAAAAAAAATAAAAAAAAATTTTTTAAAACAAAAAAAAATATAATAAATATTAATTAAAAAAAAACGTTGGCAAGGGCCTCGAAGCCCTACTTGTTCCCTTCTTCTCTCTTTTCTTTTTCTTTTCCTCTTTCTTCTTCCTTTCTTCTTTCTTTTCTTTCTCCTTCTTCTTTCTTTTGGCCGTCGCAGCATCCTGCCCGCCGCCCTTCGCTGCTGCCACTCCTCGCAGCCGGCGCACGCCGCAGCTCCAAGACCACCGAGTACAGCTCCTGCTAGCGCGCCCTCCTCGAGCTCCAGCCCAACGCGCGCCTCTAGCCGAGCCCACAGCCGCCAGCAGAGCACCTCCTTCAGCCAGCACGACCAGCGCGCGCCAGCGCCTCAGCGCCCAGGCGAGCTCGCGCCCACCTCGCGCGTCATCCACCACTGCCCCGTACGAGCTGAGTAGCAATGCAGACGCACCTGCGCGCCTGCCATCCCAGCACCAGGACAGCACGAGCCCAAGCCCAGCCCGCGCGCCCCAGGCGCCCTCCGCGCACTCCAAGCCAGTAGCTCGGGCCTCTAGCCGAGCCCATCAGGCGCGCGATCTCCTCTGCGCTTCCTCAACGACTTCACCAGACAAGCCCAGCAAGTAGCAGCAGCAGTCGAGCGCCCTTCTGCGTCTTAGCCCACGCGCGTCGCTTCTGCCTCTTCCACTGTACCTGCTGTTGTTGCCAAAACCCCTCCGGTGATCTCTTCTTTAATTTTCTGTCATTAGTTAGCTGAGGCCAGATTACTAACTTTTATTAGCTGATGCCAGATTTGAATTTCTTTGCTGAGGCCAGATTGTTGACTTGCTAGCTGAGGACAGAAATTTTGTGCTTGTTTGGGTGCTGTGGTATATCTGTGGTTGATTGTTGACTATCTGCTAAATTTGGTGCTCAACCAGTGGCATTTGGGGGAAGTTTTCACTCAGATTGCATGTTTAATTAGTTTTTCGGGGAGTTTTTGCTGTTTTCATTTGTTAATTTGTTTTTGGGAGTTTGTTGCTTATTTCCCTGATTGTTGGTGTTTGGGAGCTGTAATTGGTGAACCCTACCTTGTTGGCTGCCTGTTCACATATTTCTAGCACATTTCCCCTGCCCAACAGACCAAATAACCAAACCCAAGAATAAAGGCAAGAATAAACCATCCACCTCTACCCCACGGCCTACGGTCCCTTTGGGTGGACCTGCTCCATCAACTGGTCCGGGAGGGCCCCGGACCCGCCTTGGACGGAATAGGGAGGTTCATATCTCCTCTCCGGCCCACTTTGGCGGTCACTTGACCTTTATCCGGGTTGCCGACAAGGAGCGGTACGCCTCGGCTTGCACAAGGAAGATAATTCCTTGTAAATATATCCACGGCCCTAAACTTGATCAACTGAATCTTAGGGATGAGGTCACAAAGCATCTAGCCGACATAGGTTGGACCCGCTATGCTGCTATCATTTTGCCTGCCTTTACTGAGTTAACTTGGAAATTTTATGCCACTTTTGAATTTAATATCCCTGACGAATTCTCTGTTACCACTCCTGGGATAGTGCGGTTTAGGTTAATGGGTAGAGAGTTCACCCAATCTATCACTGAATTTAATTTGGCCCTTGGGTTCATTGACATTCCCCACTCCCAGAGTGAGGAGTATATGCACAGTCCGTGCGAATACACGGAGCCATTTTTCTCTCATAACATTGGTTATTGGAGAGAATTGTCGGTTGACCGACAGAACTATGACCCCAGCCAGTCTAAGGCATCTTTTCTTAAGAACCCCACTTACCGTTATTTACATAGGTTTATGGTTTACAGTTTCTCTGGTAGAAAGGATAGTTTGGGTACTTTGACCAAACCTGAATTCTATTTCATTTGGTGCATGGTTACTCGGACTAAGGTCAATTTGGGTTGCTGGTTTGCCCTCCACCTCCGAACTGTCCTAAGTAAGAAGCATAAACCATTAATCTTGGACTCATTTA